GAAAGACCACTGGAGATTATCTGGACGTAGACTACTAGCGTCACAAGACCGCCCACACATCAAATAATCTCCAGTCGTTACATCGACCCCGAGAACAGGTAAATCTCGAAACATACACTCCTCTTCGTGGAAGTTTAGTTAAGATTTTCAATGTCCTTCGGTCACATCTCATCGATTCTGTCCCTGATTACACAAGGGAGGAAACCATAAGCAATCATCAGAGCGACGTCTCAAACTTACTCGACCTCAGAAGGGTTATAGAAAGACCCCCCTCCGGTCACTTATCACGTACGTCATCAGATTCAGCCGATTTTCGTACTTAATCGAAGAGACGTAAGTAAAACTAAATACCTTACCAGTTTACTAGTCTACTCGATTCTTTCTTATTATTGTCCCTATAAGCTAGTGTAAACTTACCGTCACCACAAAAGAGAAGTCACAACGTCCGCCTCTCGAGAAACTGGCATAAGACCTGGCCCCCACATGAGCCTCTTTTCTGCGGTCGTCGCACTAGGCGGTCCACGACGTGCGGCACTCGATGGACGTGTTCTTGCTGTGTGCACGTAGCTCTGGACTTCCATCCTTAGTCTATTAATTTGTTATTCAAGAATGTAAGTGAACCGATTTGTGAAAGTTAGTGGTTTGTTTCAATTTTGTACAAAGATAAGTTGTCGTAACAGTTTCAGTTGAAATAACAGTTAGAAAGTCAAACACCACATGTCTGTCTCCTGGCAAAGGGTTGTTAGTGCTTATGTTATTTATGTTATACATATAGTGTATATATGTGTTTAGTTGTCTGTGTTAATATGTATACGTTTGTAATTCTGTCTTTATTTCGTGTCGTTAGGAATATATATGATTATTGTCAGTGAAGTTATAGAACCCTTACATGTAATCACGTTCTAACAGTATCGTCGCATTTTTCAAGACCACGACCTAAACTCAACCCAGCAACCCCACTTCGTGTAAAGTCTATATAATGTAATGTTACACATACGTTCATATAATCATTTCTATTCGGCGAACTATTTTGTATATCATTGGTTCTATTGTTTTGTTGCCAGTTTCAACTTTCCTTTCCTTGCCAAACACTTCGGTGTCTACTAGAAAATATTTAATGTTGACAAATTCACGGGCTTCATGACTTCGTGTCTACAAGTAATTACAGTGAATGTTGTACACTTGGTTTTCATCCTCTAGTTCACAAGAGTTTATATGGGTTACTACAGTTTCTAACATAGCATTTTCCGTCCGTTCAAATAAACATTTCGTGTAAAGTTGTGTTCCGTTAAGTTTCACGAGATGTTTTTACTTTTTGTAATTTTCGTAATTCATTATTCCGCCCAAGTGTGGTTCATGAAAAAGGGTGTTTCGCCGGACTCTTGTAAGAAATCAAGAGTACTTTGATTCAGTCTAGCGCAAGTGCTGCTCCTTCTAAACAACGGACCCACAAAACATAATCCGTCGCAGCCCCGGGCGGCGCCATTTTTTACGTTCGGCGACCTGAGTGAAAAGAAGAAAGACGAACCCAAACCTGCAGTCGCGTTCTACGCTTGCGTCGCCGCACTCATGCACGCGCGCCGGCCTGTCTCCAAGGCGGCCAGGACCTTCAGGGCCGCGAAATCGCCTGACCGAAGTCAACTTCGACGACCCTGAGCGGTCGTCCGAAAGGACGCGGGACAGAGGGGCCTCATCTTGCGGTCCTGCGCTGCGGAGGACATTCAGCACGAGTAGGCCAAGAAGCGTCCACAAACATAAAACACAACCCTGTATTCAACTAGAGAGACGCAAGACGCCCGACCCGATTACCGACTTACGATTTATTACGTATACGCTCCTATAGATCGGGGAAGCAGCCTTTGTAAACTACGCCCCAAAACTGTGGAACACGTTACCCATCAATATTAGGGAAGCCAATACGTTAGGCATTTTATTTTTTTTTAAATGTACCAAAGCATTTGACTGATTTTACACTGTTATACTGCACTATTCTCTGTGATTGACATTGCACTATTTCTCTATGTTTTATTCTCCATGTTTTTCCTTTTAATTATTTCATCCCACTTTATGCTTTGCTCTTGCTGCTTGTTTTACACTGATTGTATGTCTTATTTCTTACTGATGTAAAGCAATTTGAACTGCAATCCCCTGTATGAAAGGTGCTATACAAATAAAGTTATTATTATCATTTGAATAAGAATGTAAAGGACGCTCACAGCTCCATGACGAGATAGTAATGGGTCCGACTTTCATAGAAATCCTCCATCCCCACCACGTTGTCGTGTTTGACCCTGAAAAGGGAAACGAAAAGGTGCCATCATTAGATCAGATAACATTAAATACAATAAGATTTCATTAGATCAAATAAGATTACATTAGATTTACTTTATTGATCTTATATTGGAAAATTATTTTGTTGAAGCTGTTTGTAGAAAAGCCATTGCACATGATTAAAAAATAAAAATAAACAGACAGTAAATGTCATTTGATTAGACTACATCAGATAGAATTACATTATGTAAACTTTATTTATCTCAAATTGGGAAATTGTGTAACATTGCAAATGAAGTAAACAGTAAATATAGACATATTAACAAAATAAAAGTATATATTTATAGAGTAAACAATTAAAACATGTACAGAATAAGTAAAATTGCACTGAAAAGATTAAAGAAACTATAAACCCACAACATAATTCACATATTTCAACATAAACAACAGAAATGGATCAGTGCGATTCCTCTGCACACTGACTACTGAGAGAATACGAGATGTTTTGACGCTCATTAAAAATGCAAACGTTAATTACCTCCTCAGCACGGCGATCTCGTTCTCCAGATTGAGGTCTCGCGTCTGTTTCTTCTTCACACACTTCATGGCAAACAACTTCCCCGTCTTCTTCTCCTTCACCATGAACACCTCTGAGAACGCCCCGCTGTTCATCAACAACACAAACACAATGAAAGTGAGTTATTGATGATGCCTTCACTGACCGCTTGAAAACATCAGAGAAAGGAAGAACAGCAGGAGAAATTAAGCTTCACTTTATTAGAATCATGGGATCGTAAATAACATATTTGGACAAGAACAGTGTCAGGGAATAATTTCCATAGATGTTTACGTTTCGCCCTCTGACGCAGATGCCCAGCCTTGGGCAGCATGCTATCTCCCTTAAGGAGGGGCTGCCCTAGCAAGTTGTTGTTGTTACCAGTTTGTGACCGGGCAACTCTCGGTCAGAGATAGTTATTGTTGTGGGACATCTTGAACACATCCTTCTCGGGGTGTAGATGACCCCGAGCCATAAGCAACAACAAATGTGATTCAGTGTCCTCAGCTGTTTAGTCTATCTATTGAAGACTGTTGATTATTACGCTCTGAACTAGTTAAAGCCTCGAGCTACAGAAGGGGCCTTCAGAATTGATTGTGGCCTCTCAACCGTGTGGTCAGACCGTGGCCCGTGACATGTCTTGTGAATTCTCCGGCCGAAGCTCCAAATAAACCCCTAACCCTAACCCTCTCCATCGTGTCTCTCTTTGAGTCCTGACTCCAATTGCTTCAGAAGTTTCCCCCACAAACAGCACATAGTAGTTGCCTCTTAATGGACCTACTTTCCATTATTCTCAGCCAATCAGAATGTCTTCCATGCTTTCATTTCTCTATTGTGTTTATAGGTCAAATGCGAATGATTTTCAGCAATTTTTATCTATTTGCAAGCCTTAAAATGAACGTATTTTTGATTCAGAGTAATGTGAGTCCCATTAGTCTGTATAGGTAAATGTTAAACTAATTTAACATTTTAGAAGAGATAATTGGATGATGAAAATATGGATACGACTCACGTTTTTTCCATTCAATATAGTGCTGATGAAATTAGCAATTTAGCTTAGCATAAGGTCTGGAAACAGGGGGGAACAGGTCGTCTATATACATTCAAAAACCAAATGTAAAAACTAGAACAATGCCTGACTGTTTCCCTGTAAAACCATAAATTGTGAGTTTAAAAGGTGCTGGTAGGCAGGTGTGTGTTACAATTGTACATAACCAAGTTAGCCACATTACATCTTCACACTCTTACAGTGTTTACAACATGTTTCCTGTTTTTCTTCTATACATTTGACAGTTTCATCATGTCATTTCTCCGCCTCCTTGCGCCACACAGAGGTGGAAAAGGCCTTGGAGCGAATACGAATAAACAGACGGCAGAAATAGCAATATCAAGGGATTCAATTAAACTGCACTGAAGCTCTCTGTGGATTAACCAATCACATGTCAGAGGCTTATTATGCTGCTCTGTGTCCATGCTATCTTCAGAGTTGTCTGGGAATAGTTGTTCTACCTGCGGGATTAGGTGCTTTATCCCTTACGCAAGGGAACAGAGAGTTGGGGAACAGGGTCAGAGACTGAGAGAGATCTGAGGAACACAAGCCGCTGCAGGACGGGACGGGACGGGACGGGGGGGGTCAAGGGCAGACAGGTGTCACTCTGCCTTCTGGGTGCTGATGACCCTGACCCTGAGGCATGATGGGAGGTTATCTAACGTGGAGAGACAATCCCCCGCTGGACGATGTCAGTATTGATGTAGATAAAAAGTGAATTTCCCCTGGTGGGATAAATAATGAAAGGTCCTCTTCTTGTCTTTCTTCTTCTTTAAAAATAACTGTGTTCGTTAGAACAAAAAACATAGATAGTGCTTCTATTGCACGCCACTGCCTTCAAATAAATCAAATAATTATTCTTATCTTGACTGCACTTTTATTTTTGGATTTTAAACCTGTCTTATTCTATTTTAGCATGTTTTGGTTCCACTTGTTGCTCTTGATTTTTTATTTTATAATGGGTTTCTGTGGCAATATATCTTAATGTTTGACTAAAGATCAGCAATCCAGTCCATGATTTGTTGAAAAATCTCACAAAATACCAGTTTTATAGAGTCATTATAAGCATATCGTTTCTGAGAAATAAAAATGTTAAATGTTTAATATTTATAGTTATCTTGTATAACTTGAGCTTGTTATTCCTGAATACTTCTTCAGTTGATTTAATTAAGTAGAGCATGTTTACATCTTATAATCTGTGTGTTTTCAACATTGAAATCAACCTTTTTAAATATGAAAACGCTTTGATCTTATTCACACTTCACTCTGCTTCTTTCCATGATCAGCCACACCTTCAGTTGTTTCCGGAGGGATAATAAACACAGAGTCTGAAATGTGTGTGGTCAATTGAGAGCTGATTTTAAATTGAATTTATAGATATTTATATTATATTGATATTTATTTATATAGATTTGAGAGATACCAAAAGATTCACACCCTATAAAAACAGCCTGATTGCTCTCAGGGAGGCGGACAGGAAGGAGCTGTCTCTCAGCTTCATCACCGCTCTTCACATCCAGTTGCACAACTGATTTCTCCGTGGTTACAACATCTCATTTTCTTCCGCGGGTCTCCTCGAAGCTTATCGTGTCTCTCAAGAGAAATCATCAATCAAGCTAATACCAGACAGAATTTATACATATATAAATATATATTCAACAAGAAAGACAAAGGCTAATAACACTACTGGAGTGTGTAAAGTGGGACGCTTAAAATTCACAGATGTTAACGAGAATAAAATTGCTCTGTGCTTTTTGAGAGGTGAATTCACCCCTGAAGAGATTACCCTGATTGCCAGGAAACAATTATGTTGTTGTTGTTGTTGTTGTTTACACTGTGTGTGTGTGTGATGAGGCCCGAGGGACAGGCTGTGTTTGGTGTCCCACGCAATCTCCTGTCCCTTTTGGATTAGCTTCCTTTTTATGATGATGGAAAACAGAAAGGGTGTCGCGGAGATCAGGCGAAACAGCAGGAGAGTTCACTGTTGACACCTTTAAAGAGGCCTATTATGCTTTTTGGGTTTCCCTTTCCTGTAGTGTGTTATATAGGTTTTTCTGCATGTCAATCGTCTACGGAGGCAAACATCTTTCTCTCCCACACACCCCCCCCTCCCCCCCGGCCTGCAACCGCATTGTTTACTTCCAGAACAGAGCTAGCATTTCACTTCTATTAGCTAGCGCTCAAACACATTGTATGTGATAGGCTAAGGGGCGGGACATCTATAAGCGGTTGACCAATCACAACAGAGCCGGCCAGCTAACCAATCAGAGCAAACTGGGCTCTGGTTTCAGACAGAGGGTGAAAAGAGGTGCTGCAGCACAGGCAGTATGAGAACAATAAAGAGCTTTTTGAACATTAAAGCATGGGGACAAAATAATATAGGTCACAGTAGAGGCAAAATGAATAACAATTATTAATTTGTTAGATGAGGTGTCGGAGAAAGTGTGTTCATATATCTTCGCCTAGTTTTCCATTACGCCTCCAGAACTGTTTTGTGTTTGGGGAAATCACCGTTATTGCTGCACACTAATTGGACCACATATTATATCCTGTCCTGTGCTGGTTAGGGGCCTCGCTCATTCCTCACTCTGCATTCACCGCTGCTCTGGAACATCCTCGGCCCTCGGCACATATCGCTCTGTTTACACACAGCAGCAGCAGCAGCAATCACTCCATCGCTCCCTTGTTTACAGTCGGCCTCTGAGCAGCTGTTCCCCAAACACTCGAGAAATACTCCAAAAGACCTGCTGAGTTCACTTCACTGAAATTAGGTCAGGAGACTGTTAGCTAAGACTGTGCACAGTTTCCATCAGTGGTGTAAAGTACATCCATCAAGTACTGTAACATGTAGAAGTACTTGTACTTTTCTTGAGTATCTCCATTTTCTGAAGCGTTGTACTTCTACCCCACTACAATTCAGAGGTAGATCATTTGCTTTTACTCCATTAAACGTGTTGAATACTTTTAGTCAATGTGCCTATATTGATTACTGATACAACCTATAATAAATACTTAAATAGGACTTTAGTAACACACATGGTTTAAATTGACAATGAGTCAATCTGCATAATAAGTTATTTTACTTTTGGTACTTTAAGCATATTTTGATGCAAATACTTTTTTACTTTTACTTATTTGAACACTGTACTATTTCTACTTGTACATAAGATAAATATCTACAGTAAAAACGTCTTCCAGTACTGCTGTTTTGTTTATAAAGTTTCAAAATCTAGCTCAAATTTGGCATTCTTGCCTAAAAATGTAACTAAATAATAAATAATGTCATCAAAATATAGTATTCATTATTTCAACGTCAATCAACTTATCAATTATTCAACTGCAGCTCAACTTGTTTTGCAAACAGATGTTTACATTTGTATTTACATTTCTCCTTTCTTTTGTGAGTCTCACAATTCAAGGAAACGTTAATGAAAAAATGGCCATTTTTAAAAGACAGATAGATTTTTTAATTGTATTGACCTGCTTAGGTGACTCACATAACACCATGAGAACACCATGAGAACACCATGAGGAGACAGACAGACTAACCCTCTCACGGGCAAAGCATCTTGTTGACTAAGTCCTCGGTAAAGTAGGCCTCAGCATGTCAATCCAATCATCTGTCCTCAGACTCAAACAGCATGTGGAGGCTTTATCGTCACGGCACGTGCAAGTCAGAACACATGGGACACTGTGATCGACTTCAATATCTCTCAAACTAAACCTTCAGAAATGCTAAATATTCCCAGAGGTACCACGGAAGAATCTCTGTAGTGTTTACAACAACGGAACAGGAAAGTAAAACCAGTCCGCTCAATAAATATTACAAATAAATGTACTCACGATCCCAGCTCCTCCATGAAGTCGAACACCTCCTGGATGTCGTCGATGACCTTCATCCACTCGCCCTCCTGTCGACACATCTCTGCGCAGACTTCAACAGGGACTTCTTTTAGAAAGAAGAAGAAAGGAAAGAACACATAAGGTCCACGTCCTAATCATAATCAGAGATTATTAAACAGTCTTTAAAGGATGGATGCAGGTGTTGGTGCGTCAGAGGACGAGCTTTCTTTGTCTGGATGACAAAAGGTTAGGGTTTAAAATCCTACAGGAATTTATAAAGCTGTGCAAAGCCAGGCAAACTGTACCAGATCTAAATGACAACATAGTGTATGAATTGATAAAATGTCAGAAGTCAAACAAGGAGAAAAGTAATAAGAACCTGTTGCATTGATTGTTTTCTGTTGCATCGTCAAAAATGCATTGAAAATATAATAATTAGCAAAATGATGTTTCCAAAATAAGCTTCCTGCACAATTAGGATCATCACACATTATTGTGCAAGAAAAAAGACATTTGTTTCACTAATAAACATTAGGATTAGGAGGGAATTATCCAATAAAACCACATGTCCTGAGGAGGATTAGGAGCACTTTGAATGAGCAGGTTACCCAGTTTAGTTTCCTGGCCTCTTTTCTCTTATATAAGGGATTAACTCTTGATATCGAGAACTGACCTTGTTACAGGTATAAATAAACACCAAAGTATAGCCTCAACAATTCATATGTGTTACAAATCTCTTCAAAATGTACTGTATACAGTAAAAGCCCATAATACATGAATATAAGAGCAACCGATGAGCAAAGAAAATCTGACATTTTAAATCCCGCTTTCATTTATCTTCAAGTCAATGCATACAGTAACTCAGATGATGCAGCTGAACACAATTAAGCGATTAAAATGATTATACTCTAGATTATTATCCCCACACATTCAAACAATGTCCATTACACACAGACATACACACAGATCCCCCTGAGGGTATGCTGTTTCCGCACACAACACACAGGTCTGGCACCTCCTGCTCTCCCGCAGTAATGATTTCCTTCGCAGCAGCAGTGTGTTGTTATTCAGCAGAGCAGCTCACGACATGCACACACACACTCACACAGACATGCAGAGAAATGTTCAACAGCACAAGCAGCGATGCAAAGCTCATTTGCAGTCAAACCATGCAGCAGGGATCCACATCTCAATGCAGTGTTGTTGTTTTGAAATAGCGCAACAATTCCTCCACGTTCTCTCCATTCTACAGTCCCTTACGTGCAAGCTTTAGAGTAGAGTCGCGGTTTTTTTTTCTGCACATAAACACCAGTCAATGCAAGGAAATGCTGCTGTGATTGACAGTGGGTTGCAGCACCTCCTTTCTACTCTAACGCTACCAGAAACACCAAATTGGCAGGATCTGCGGAAACATCACTCTGCGGCAAAAACAAGCAGAAATTCAGACCAAGCAGAGCTCTGACGCCTGAGCGCGAAAACACCTTAAAACACAAGTTTGGACTCATGCATGAAGGATGTTATAGAGGAGAAAAACTAGAACAGAATACAAATAAGGCAACACTGGCGCACTACTTTACTCCGAGTTGCTGTTAAAAGCAAACAACAGTTGTTTCCAGGTCTACTTTAAAATAAAAAAAGATTCAGATTTGAGACTTACCCAGAGACTCTGCGCTGGAGGAGTACCGCTCTGACTCTCCTGCCAAATGCTCTGCGAGGTCTGGACGGATTACTGAGTCTGAGACATCAAAAGAGGAGCTACCTGTTGTGGAGTCAGAGATTACATCCATGGAGAGGGGGGGGGCGCACTGCTGCAGAGATCCGCGCAGCAGCCACAGGTTTATACAGAAAACAAAGCGTGTTGCGCAGAGATGAGCAATATTTCTTTCAAAACGGCAAGATCAATTCATAACAGCAACATGGGCACGCGCATGCGCAGATACACGCACTTGAGTTTTGCACGTTTCAGCACAGCAGAGCATTAATGTTTGATAGTCGATGATGAAGAAGTACCTATATTTAATACCATTCAAAATCTGAAGTAAATTAAAGGTATTGGCATATCAATATACTTGAGTACCAAAAGTAAGAGTACTGTAAGAGTAATTGCACATTTCAGAAATATAAATATGAAATTAAGTTATGATTATTGATGCGTTCATCACAGCTGGTAAATGTGGAGATGATTTTAATTAATAAACTGCTTCTGGGTTTGTTAACCTTTCATATATGTGAATGTTGAGTTTTTAGTTTAAAAGTAATGCCTTACAAATGTAGTGGAGTAGCAGTCTAAAGGAGCATAACAAGTGCAAGTTCCTCAACATTTTATTATGTACTTCATAACATTACACCACTGTCAACATTGGTCAAATGTACCTTATCACATATGTTCAAGTATTGAAGAACTACTCAGTTACATGTCAATGTAATCTAGATGCAATAATTATCACCTGAAACCCCCCCAAAAATACATCACATGAATCTCTTTTTTATTTATTTTTGTTGTTTTAATGTAATCATTGTTTGGGACTTTGGGCTTCATACAAATAAAATAATACATGTAAATGATTAGAAGTAGGCAACCTGTCAATATTTGTTTTGTCTTTAAAGCCTTTTCAAAAGAACCTGTCCTAATATAAAGGTGTGGAGAGAACTGTCGGTGGAAAGGTCTTTGTAAAGTTGTTTTCACATGTCATTACACATTTCACACCGAGGCCCCAGACTGGGATGAGCGCAGCATTAGGCTCTAAACATGTTACAGTGAAAGTATTCTTCAGAGGCAACTTTAACAGGATTATTTATTAATCTGCACACGTAGCTCATCTCACCTGTGACCTGCCTCACATGGAGGAACAGGGTCAGAGTAACATTTGGCCCTCTGCACTCCTGTGTTTACTGCAGACAAAGGACATGGACACAGTTTGTGCCCTGCAGAATAATTAGCTTCACATATTTCTAATCAAAAGGAACAGCGACAGTGATGTCCTTTCAGTCTATCCACCATCAAAGGCTGCAGTGTTGAGGAAATGCAGAATACCTGAGGTTCAGGCACGTGCCGTTCATAGCGACATAATAATATCTCTACCTGCTCATCATGTCGTCATGGATACTGGGCGAGGAGGTTGTCATGTTCATTTATCAGTTTCAGGTATTTTATAACCAGAAGGAGTTGAAGTGTTATCCTTGAAGAGAGCCAGCATCAGGCCTGAAGAAGGAAGCAGCCGTTTCTATAACGAGAGCGCCAGGAATGATGATGAAGATGCTTAGTCACAGTTATTACAGAAAAGCAATTAGAGAAACATTTGAGCAGCATTAAAGGAACATTACAAACACATGGTTACAAGTAGAGTCCTGCATTAAGATAGAGGCTACTTAAAACTGTGCTTTTTGGGGCTCTGGTTTCAGGCAGAGGGGGAAAAGAGGTGCTGCAGCACAGGCAGTTATGAGAAAAAAAACAAGAGCTTTTTCAACATTAAAGCAAGGAAACACTAAATACTAATATCAACTTGCAAAAGAACATAATATGTTCTCATTAGGTAACATTCTACTTCATTAAAGACTTCAACTTGCAATGGAGTTGCAGAACACCTCCTTCTCTTAAGTAAAGGATCTAAATGCGTATTTCACCTCTGCTCCTTACTGTCCCATCCCAGGGATTAATAAATGTCTTCTTCTTCTTCGTATGTCACATAAGTGATGTTAAACCAAGCTGCCCATGGTTCTCAGAGGAGAAACAGAACAAACACAGTGCCTCAGGCTCTTAGGATCCATTGCGACTAAATGAAAGACAACGAGATTACACTAACAGGATTAGGACATTGTTCAATGCCTTGTATAACGTGATGAGTGACGGAAAAAGACTTCTAAATCAAAGTGAAGCGCCCTCACATGAAGAAGAGCCAAAGAAGACATTTAAGTCATCATATTTAATGCTGTGAAAAAATATTTCAGTAAAATGAATCAGGATTTAAATCCACTAAACAAAATGAGTTCTTTTGAGGTGTTTATAAAGCGTTACATAAGATGATTGAATTGGTTCTGAAATGGTTCACTGCTGACATAACCGGAGATTAATGTTAGCATAAACTAGTGACCCGTGTGTGATAACTGCACACAACACATCTCCTTTAATTATTCACCTTCAGGCCTCATTTAATAACACAACAAAGTAGGGCTCATTCTCCACAGAGGCTTCCTAAAATCATAATATCTTCTTAATATTTACAGTAGAATATAATAATAATATGGGTCCAACAGAGACAGGGGCGGTGCCAGGCGGTAGCTTGCAGTTGCTACAGCAACACCAACAATTGGCCTAGCAACTGCCAAGCAACCCCAAGAAATGTATGCGTTTTTTTTAATATAGGCCTATGTGAAATTCATAATTTGAAAAATGATTGATTCGAAAATGATATGCTACAGTACAGTACAAGTAGCCTACTTCTGGGTGTTTCATTCAAGCTCGGCTCCGTGTGTGTGGCACGAGCGCACGAGATCGAGAGCAAGATTGTTGTTGCTGCGCTAACGGATATTAGTTTATTGTTTCTACGACATTTAAGTGAAAGGAAAGTCCTCTCCTGTCAGATAACGTCAGCTCAGTGAGGTAAAGGACTCTCTCAGTATGTAGATAGTTAACTTTAGTCTAAGTTTGTCAGTGGGTCTCAAAACTGTTTGATCACCATTTATGTAAGCAAGTATTTCCGAGGCACACCTTCATATGATAAGTATACTTAGGCTATAAAACAATAAGAGAATAAACGAAAAACAAGTATGAAATACTATATGACAGAAAAACAAGAATACAGTTTAAAAGGTGAGTGATTAGTAAAATATCCATAAAGAAAAAGTAAATCTGTTTAGTTCTGTTTCATATGGGTGTTGAGAGATGTATCCATATCCTCTTAATTTTGCTCTCAAAGTGCACCAGATTGATGCTTTTAACAAATCTCTGGCGCCGCCCATGCAGAGATTAGTATTGTCAAAGTGTAAACTGCAGTGGAGGCATGTTGCTAACTGCATTTTGCTCAGGTGCTGCACGTCAATACAATAGAATAACTTTTATTGAAATATTCCGCTTTAGTGCTATTTTATACTTGTGCCTTAATATATTTTAGAGGAAAAAAGTTAGTTATATTTACTAAGCCTTTACACAACACTTATGACTGTTTAGTTAATAACAATGTAATTCTTTGTACTTTTTATATACACAGATCTCAATGTATGACAGTGAACCCTAAACGAGTTGCTTCACTTCAATAAAGCCCTTAATGAAAACTGTAATTGCTTTAGCATAATTGAAGATAACAATGTACACAAAAAGCCCTAGCCGTATGTTGTATTTACTATTTTATATATATTTTATTTAATGTCGTTGCAATTTTAGATATTTGTTTGTACATGCAACTTTTTAAATAAACAACATTACTGATGGAGAGGGACAAGTGTGCACCCTGGAGGTTAGCAGGTAGAATAGCACGAGCATTTCAACTCTATATATAACCACAGTACTGTGCTGCAGATATATACAAAAGGCCAATTTGTCCAGTAAGAAACGAACACCCCAAGAGGACTGGACGGACATCACAATCATTATCAAAAACATGAAACCTAAAACATCAAAGTGCATGATCTTTATTTGATATAATGTGAAAGGCCGTCCAGGTGGCGGCAGAACGATGAACGTATACGGCCCTTTTCACAAACAACAAAACAGTCTTTGTCTGGATGTCAGCTATTCTGCCAGCACCTGAACAGAAACACCTGCAAAATGATAAAAGGTAGCGTTTATAAATACATGAAGCAGCTGTTCAGTCTGTTTCTCATTCTCCTTAAAACCCCCCATGTTTTTATAATAAACCACCAGTTTGAAAGCAGCCGCCGGTGAAAACCAAACTCTGACCCAAGAGGACTGAACCGTCGACCCCTGAGATTAAAATCCAACGTGCAATCGGGAAAAGGACATGTTGAACAGCAGGTAGTGGCAACAAAACTCTGGATGATAAAATGAAATCATGAATTTATTACTTTTAATATTTTAAACTAGCTCTTTTTTTTTGTCTCCATCTTCATATATCTAGAATTTATTCAGCATACAAACAGTTATACGTATTTGATGTCATTGTGAACAGTAGCACTTATTCATCAAAGTATTTTTAAAAACTCCATCCATCCTGTGCTTTTGTTAAAGATCTTTGTCTAAGGCTCCATTAGCAGGATCCCCAATGTGGTTTTGTGATGCTGCTTAGTCTTGGCTTTACACATGTTTCTGACACCAACACCAAACTGATCCCAGGTTCTGTTTGGATCACTTTCTGTGTGATGGATGCAGCAGAAGATGAGCGGTCCATTTTCTTTTTTCTTCTGCTGCTGTGACCCCACTAACACATCAGGTAGGGCTGAGCCACAGAGGTATGAATGCGTCATCTCAGAGCCTCAGATCCCCAGGCGTATGTCTCCCTCTAGGGGCCGCTTTGCCCTTCACTCCTCTGCCCCGTAAGCCTCACCTTTTTCATCCTAGTCGTACAGATGCCACTGCAACAATCATCTCTGGCTTTGAAAAGTCAGGAGGCAGCACACACAGTAGATGTGAGGTCATCTACTGCACGGTACAAAGAGGTTCATGCCGAGTTTGCCTCACGCCCAGTGGACCTGAGCTCCTGCCTTGGAGTGGCGTTTGGCCTCCATGATGGAGAAGGCCTCCTGCTCCTCTCCGATCTCCGTCAGCCTCTTGTCCTCCAGGAAGGACACCAGCGAGTCCCTCATGTCCACCACATCCAGCATCTGTTGGAGGACCCGCTCCTCCTCCGTCTGCTGCTCGGGCGTCTTATCTACAGATTACATAATGTATCAATGACAATGTGAACAAATGGTGTTTGTA